TTCTTTTACAATTTCATTTCATTTCATTTTTATTTGTCCCGCTCATGGTACGCAAAACCAAATGTACAATAATTGCCACAAAACATGATTCTACCATTGAGCGAAAAGGAGCTGGGAGAAGAATAAAATCTTATGTGACCTGCCCCTTTCTAAAAAAAACAAAATAAATACAAATACAAATAGATGGTCTGCCCTTCATAATAATATATATATATATATATTTTTTTTTCACAGCCAAACATAACAGTATCTTAGGATACTAAGAGAAACACACAAAAAAATACTTATTTCCCACTTGACGGTTAACGGAAAGAAACAAAACAATCAACCTGGCTTCTCCCTTTCCAGATCTTGCAGGCCTTCTGTGTATATATATAAAGTAAGGGGTTCTACGCACTAGGCAGCTCCCAGGTGAGTGCAGTTAGTGTCTTTAGAAAGTGAATTACAGAGAAGTGAGATGGATTGAATTAGAGACCCTAAGAGGATGATAGGAGTCATGCTGGGGCCGGGACTGCGTCTTATAAAACCACTTACACTTAACAACAGGGCTCACCACTGCTGGCTTCTGCACTGTTGTAGCCTAATTCCCAGTAGGTCTCACCCAGACATGGACAATACATTAACACGAGTCAACTCTTAATCACAGATTTACAGCCCGCCAAAGATGATCCGCGCCGCAGAGTTTGTTCTGCGATGCTAATGAACCCATCCTCGCCTTCCATCCGTCTCTGCAGCTTGCCATCCCACACCTCTTCCTGTCATCCCTCCATCCCCTCATCATTCATCTTTTCTTCTCAATTTCTGCCCGCTCTCTCCTTCTGTCATTCCAATCCATCTTTCCTGCCTTCCTGCGCTGCACCGTGTATTTCAGACACTACGGAGGGATTCAGCTCCTGCTATGGACTTGTTTACATGCATGTGATTCCTTGAAGCACTTCAGATTGAGTTTGAGTGTGTACTTTATTTGTTAAACAGGAAGGGAAAGGGAAGATAGCATGAGTTAGGGAGAGTTGTCTTGTGCATACTCCCTTAATGTATCAGTAAATGCCTCTTAAATATGCTGAAACATAAACGTTTTATTATTAAAAAAAATGTATTTGCACTTAGAAATCATATTAGCAGGGTTTATGTTACTGTACCCTCTAAGGCAGGGGTGTCAAACTCAAGGCCCGGGGGCCAAATCCGGCCCGCGACATAATTTTCTGTGGCCCCACAAGAGCTTGCAAAGAATATAATATGTTTATTATACGGTTACAGTACATGCTACTTTACAGAAACACGTTGCCCATAAACTACATATCCCACAATGCATCTCCAATTTAACTTTTTCTCAGAATTTGACTTGTTTTTTAAAAATTTGACTTTTTTTCAAAATGTCACTTCTTATTTTTCTTTGGCTTTTCTTTTTAAATCATTTTGTGACATTCTCACTGAAGAGACTTGCAATTATTTGCCGTAGACTTCTGCTTTCAGGCGTAGTTAATTATGAAGTTATTACCCTATCCGATAATAATCCAATGCAGAGGCAATAAGGTAATATAATACATTATTTTATAGATATTAAATATTTATGGGAGACATGAAGAAGAGGGGACACATTACAACCGGCCCTTTGAGTGCAACCATAATGCTGACGTGGCCCGTGATGAAATTGAGTTTGACACCCCTGCTCTAAGGTTTATTTCTTTAAATGTAATTTATCGGTAGAAACTGTGCTTAGACTACCTACCTAAACTAAATCACTTCCTCGTTGAACATAACAAGTCTCTGCAGGATTTGGCATTGACTGAATCACTACTTTCCTAAATCATCTGGTATCAAAATGACACTAACATGAAAATGACATCGACTACTGATATCATTTGGCAGATTCTTTGCAGGTCTGACATCTAAGTGCTTGTGTAAGGGCGAAGCACAGAATTAAAGATTGGTTGTGGCTCCATCAGTGACTTGGAGGGGGAAATAGGTCAACTAGAAGCAGGCTGGCAGAGTAGAGAGGAGGGTGGGAGGGGAGAGGGGCATTTCTCAGCGACAGACTGCCATACAGTATATAGACTATTCATGAATAAGCTCTGTGTAAGCCTTGGGCACTGCTGTGGCCCCGTTACTATGGCGGCCATGGTGAGGGGCAGAGGAATGCGGCCTTACTGGGCAACGGGAATGGAGAGGGAGGGAGGGAGGGAGGGAGGGAGGAGATCTGGAGAGGGGTCTTTGCTTCGGACTACTTTAGTCACTGGTCACATCTCCACCTTTTAGCCCGAGCACAGCCTCTGTCACTTTCTTCTTCTCTCTGTATTTCTAACCCACTTTCTTTCTAAATCTCTCTAAGCTCAAATAATCTTCACACGTCCCATTTCTTTGAACCCATCACAGGCCCACTATCCCTCTGCGTCTTTTTCTCTTACCGTGTCCATATCCCTTCATCCTCACCTGCTCTCGCTTTCATCTCAGAGCGCCCACCTGAGTCCCAGCTCACTTCAGTAGTGCCTGTGTGTGTGTGTGTGTGTGTGTGTGTGTGTGTGTGTGTGTGTGTGTGTGTGTGTGTCTAAACTTCCTGCTGGTTTCCCATCTGTTGCTCTCATCAGCTGACTGGATGACCCCGTGTGTGTGAGTACGTGTGGGTAACACTTTACATAAAAACCACAGTCTGTATCAACACCACAGAGTTTCGACCTCTTCTGGTCTTTTTCCTGTCATCGTGAGTCACGCTCAACAGCGGGGACATTTCTGTGTGTGCCTTTCACCCTGGCCTTTCCCACTGGAGTGAAACCTGCCGCATCTGTACAGGTGCAGGGGTTGATGCGCGACACCAGAAAAGGTTGCAGGGAGCCGATGAGGCGCAAGAAAAGAGAGTGAGAGAGGGAGACAAAGAGAAAAAGGGAAAAGTGCAGAGACAGCAAACATAAAAAGCCACTTCTCTCTCCTCTCTACTTCCCACTCAATTCTGTCTGTCTTTTTACATCAGTGTGTGTGTGTGTGTGTGTGTGTGTGTGTGTGTGTGTGTGTGTGTGTGTGTGTGTGTGTGTGTGTGTGTGTGTGTGTTTTAATGATAGGTCAAAATATGTGATGGGAAGATGGAAAAACGTGACGAATGGAAACAGAAGTTGAGATAAAGACAAATGTGGAGAAAGACCGAAAAGGCTGTGTGATGTGAAAATCTCTCTTCATAACTAAAGTGACCTTCACTAATCAACTTCAATGTTTCTACAGAATATGGCATGAGTGTCATGTTGGTCACACAAAGTGTTAAGATCTTTCTCTTTCTGGTAATAGACACATACAAACATCAGAACAGTCATCAAGAGTGCGCACATCCAGATAAAGCTACTCAAAAAACAAAAAGACCTAACCGCAGGACGCATGTCTGCACACACCATGAGACTACAGATAAAAAGGGTATTTCTCTTTTTCTCTTTTCAAGGCAACATTTTGATCTGAGGAAAATCTCTCGCCTCAGGACTGAAGATGATCTTAGAAAGAGAAACACACCATTCACCAGGAGCCAGGCAGGCAAAAACTTATAAATAAAAGAGGTGTCAATGCGCACTATTGATGAGACAATTCGGATAAATACACAAATGTCCGATGTTCACACAAATGGGAGTATGTATAGGTGTCCTTGTAGCTGCCTGAGTCAGAGTGAGGGACATGCGCTTGACATCACGCCTCTGAGAGACAAGCATGGGCTGACTCCCAATGCACGGACACTTCCCTCCTCTTCCTCATTCCTTCCTCTGTCTGTCTCATTCTTTCTCTCCTTTTATATTCTTCCTCCAATTCTACACTCCCTACAGCGGTGAAAACATGCAACACGGTGCAGGTGCTAAGCCAAAAAGTATCAACATTTCATTCGCCTTCCCTGTGAACATTACTCTTCAAGCAGGCATTGGCAGAGAGGTGGGCAATGAAAGATAATGCTAAGGGACAGGGGCAGCTGGAAGATAGACAGGGAGGTGCATTCAGTCAGTCAGACGAACAAGATGCTGGAAAAACTGCGAGGAAATGAATTAAAAAATAAAGGAGGAACAGCATGCGGGTAGATGGACGAGCAGTTGTAACTTAGGCAGAAACAGACATGAACAGAGAGGAGACAGACAGAGTAAAAGGCATTCAATTAAACATGTGGGCACAATAAAGCAGGTAAATACGGGCAGGCAGACAATGAGTGTGTGATGTGGTTTCCTTTCTCAGAGCAGCAAACAGGTCTTCAGCTGGAGCCCTTTTTTCTTGTGTGCAGCATCCCTCACTTGTGTGCTGCCTGGCAGACATCCATACACATTCAGAATATCACACACCGTGCTCAGCGAAGCGAAAACATGGGTGTCAGGACTGGAGGCTGTTTGTGAGTGTGTTTTGTGGTTTGCAGCACACACCGGATGAACAAAAGAACTGGCTATTGCAGCAAACAGAGATTAAGCTTTGATGGAGGAGAGCAGGCTACACTGACTACAGGTTGGCACAAGAGTACTATAGCTCCAAAACAGCAATAGGGGAACTCATTTGCCAAAAAAAGGAGTAAGAAGAGGGGTTGGATTAATACAAATGTGGGATGAAAACAAGGAACCGTTCATGTCTAATTCTTTAACACACAATCCAAGCAGTGTGTTGGGAGAAGTAGGTTAAATTCCACTGCTGTCTGAATCAAAGCTGATGGGCCTATAATAGCCTGGGCTAGAGAGAAAAAAAACCCACTATCCAGGTCAGCAGAAACCCAGCCACAACCTTCACTCAGCACCACACACACCATCCACCTTCCTGCTGCTGGCTTGAATAAAGGTAAGGCTTCAGGTGAACGAGGCAGCTGTTAAATGTGTTAATGTTTAAATATAATAAAATGTATAGTTTGGTACATTGTGGCGGCCTGGCTCCAACACATCCGCATCCTGCCGGTTGCTATTCAGGGAACACCGTCAGGTGCAAGGGAAGGAGAAACGCGCACGCACACACGCCAGTTCCTCTCACATGAAGCTGTATTTGAAAGATGTAAAAATGTCACATACCCTCAAAGCGGACAGGTCGATTTCGTCCAGGCTCCGAGCTGGAGAGTCAGTCGCCATGATGGAGGACACAGCGAGCCGCTCTCAGTCGCCTGATATCCTGAAACGGCCTTTGCTGTCACGATGGTTTGAGTCCCTGGTTGCGGCTCTATCGTCGGTCCCCTCTCTGCTACACGGAAAAAATAATAACAGTCTCCTTGTGGTCAGCAGCGGGAGCGCACAGCTAGAGCGCAAACACGGGGAGGATGGGAAGCGAGAGTGCCGGGTGCATGAGCACCTCCAGGTCCATGTCTGCGGGATGTAGACGGAACAGAGAAATGTGAAGCGCCGTGGAAAGTGGATTACTGCTGCTGGTGCTGCTCGTCCTCCAACTGCCGCTGTGACAGCCAGTGAGTGTGTAGGAGGAGGGGGGGGGAGCGCTGCTTACTGCCCCGGCAAACCACGCCTGTTACTGGGCGGGGTCTGCTGAGGCTGAAGGGACTCCCAAACTTTTTTTTGTTTTCCTTTTCGATGACCCTCATAGTACATACATACAGATTAAAGAGCAGCAGCGTTTTATTACATAATGTATGTATATAATGTCACCCTGTGTTTTGTTATTCAAAGACATGAGGACGTCTTTGTCGAATAGTTTTTCAAGCACACGTAAGAAATAAAGATTTGTTTTTAGTCATCTTTATTTCACTGAGAAACAAATAAAACAAAATTAATTACATTTATATACTTCTATACTAAAAGTTATATACCCCTGCTTTCTGTAACAAGATCACTTCAGAATATCATGTACTACAATTACAAAATATTTGACTATAACTTTTTAGATTTAAACTAAATTATAATTAAATGTATTGTAGGACTATCGCCTTTGAATTCAGGTTACCTGTTATTGTGTCCATCCTGCACACTAAATTTGATGTTGTCTTGAATGGGAAATCCAGCAATTAAGCGTTTCACTTTTATAGATTTACTCAAGTGCTGTTTTTAAGTACAATTTGAGGCACTGTGTGGTTGTCTTGAACATTGCTTTTTATGTTATTAATTTGTACTCCCCTTTGGAGAACCCTCCAGAGCCAAACAAGACTAATGCAACTGTTTTCACGTGCTGAATAGCAATCTGTACGAGTGGAAACAATGTACTTTAGGATCCACTAAATGTAACACAAAAGAAAAGCAATGCACTGAGGGACCAGATTTGTAAACTAGTTGAGGGTGCCAAAACCTGGTAAATATAAATATATATAGAAATGAATAGAACAAAGTGAAAGTGCAATGTCTGTCGTCCTGAGTGTTATTTGGCATCTTGTATAATATTCTGTGTAATTCATCACGTGTCACCGAGTTATTGGAAATTATACACGAGCCATTGTTGTGCTCTCAGGTGACTGTTTCCAGAGAATTCATTCCTACCCTGAGCCTCGGGGATTTCTCTGTGGTGTTTCCTGAGAACTGAATTGTTTTCACTGGCGTGGTTGCTTCTTCCAAAAACATCGTATGAACTTCATAATTATTGACATAAGAAGCTCATTTGCATATTGTCAATTATATGCTAGGCAGGTTAAACAGCAAGACACACTGGCAAGTCTCCATTTATTTTGATATATATTTCACTTCTCAATATTTATATTTATTTTATTATTTTATTGTGTATAAAATAACAACAGCACTTCAGCATATTATGCAATTCAGTACAACCACAAACATGATTCAATTCAACTCAATTCAAGTTTATTTATATAGCCCAATATCACATATTTGTCTCAGAGGGCTTCACAAATCAACAAACAAAATTGACAATGTAAAAGCAATGTAAAAACAACAAACATATCTTACAAGATAAATGTGAAAATACCAATGAAAAAGGGACATAACACAATGACACAAATTGTGATGAACATGTTCTAACATTAAGGATGAGGAAACACACTGACACAGACAAAAATAAGTCATTTGAAAAGTATTGTGAGGCTATTACATTTGACTCCAGGTGTATCTGGCACTTTGTCACAGACAACTAAATACTCCAGCAATTCCACTTTCATAAAGTTGGAGTTTTGTCAACAGACAAGTAAAGTAGATTTATAATACTTGGCAAAACATCTGATCACCTGCGTTACATTTAACATTTGTCAGGAAATGTTTATTTCATCCTTGAATGAGCAGCGACACGCTTGGTTTTAAATATCATTTGTAAACCTTTACTCACCTTGACTATCTGATAATAAAAAAAAGCAGCACAACATTCGCAAGAGTTAATATTTCTAAAAAAAAGATTCCATCCACAACAATGAAAATACACAGTTAAGAAAACTGAAAAAAGATTGACATTCTGACATTAACTTTGCAAAAGAAAATGTGTTACCTGAACAGGCTCAATTCAGAAATACTTCCAGCCGCAGAAAAAAGTCTTCCTACATTTTATATGACTCCTATTGAAAAGATAACGAAATGATAAAACAAGGGTATACAAAACTTTGAAATCCAAATTGGAAAAATTTGCAAACGTTTAGTCTGATGGAACAAAGGCGGTGATCATAACCAATTAAGTGAGTGTCTGCTGAATAAGTCCATTCTTGTTGGGTGCGTTACGTAGTCATCAAGATTCAATCAAAGGCTGATTCATGAGAATGCAGTGGAATCCTGCCAAATGAAACTTTAAATTTCGTTAGAATTATTTTTCTGGCATCTCCAAGGCCAGACATAATAATTTCACAACCTTAGTGAAGATCATTAACCAGTTATTTTTTAGAACAAAACACAGAATAACTAAGCTGAGCGGGAGTCTTAAGGGGCATCATGACATTTAGAGGAAGTTGCTAACCTTTGTCCTGATCCATTTCTATAAAAACCTGTCTGAAAATGAGCTGATCAGATTTTGGCCACTTTATGATGTCATAACGATTTGTTGTCTTGTGTAACCAAGGTAACCCTTGCTATTGTGGTAAGTGTTAGAAATAAAAAACACAGGTTCCCTACAAAAATTACAAAAAATGTCCCATACTGTAGGTCAAATACCATTAAATGATTATTTTTATAAAGCTTGACGGATACAGACCGCTACATTACAAAGAAGGGGATTATCTGTTGTCGCTGGGTAAAATGCTTAATTAAATCAAAACTAGACCTGCCAGGAAAACTGCTGGATTCGTTAGAGATCCTCATTGTCCCTTAAGCTTTATCAACAGTCCTGACGGGAGAGGCCTGAGTGTGCACCGTTGGCCAACACATATTCAATGGGTTTGACTGAAAGCCTCAGGTAGGGCGAGTCCGTCTGTTTACAAGGAATATCTCTTCCACTTATTTGTATTCATTCACATGCTTTAACATTTAATCATCATTTCAAGTTACATTTCCTGGTTGCAAATTAAACCTCCCTCCTGAGGATTCACAACACTGGGTAAACAATAAAACCCCCTAAGGTAAACCACCTGATTATTACACCCAAGAGTTTGCACTGACTGTGAGATACATTTAGGTTAAGCAGGTTCTTGCTTATCCAAAAATGTATTTTGTTCGCATGGCAATTAAGGTTGATTTACTCCATTACTTTTTATATCTTAAAAAGGTCCCCTATTATACTGTTTCTCATCAATATATTATAGGTCTCAGATATATACAAAACATGTCTCTGAAGTGTTTGGCTCCAAACACCAAACAGATCATTGCAGCATTACCCATAATCCCCTCTGTTTCAGCCCTGTTTCCAAAGTGCTGATTCTCTGTCTGTTACTTTAGATGAAAATAAGGAGCCCCTCCCCACGCCCCTCTGAGAGAGATTTGGTTAGAAAGAACACAATGGTGCTCTAGGAGGAGATTCAGGTGATAAGGTGGGGGGGGGGGTTACCTTGGTTACACAGGACAACAAATCGTTATGACATCATAAAGTGGCCAAAATCTGATCATAGAAATTTTTATAGAAATGGATCAGGACAAAAAGAGAGAGAATCTTTGTTCCTGAAACTTTCAGAATCTCTTTCCACAGAGGGGACACATGTTGATGTAGAAGAGACATGAAGAAGAGGGGACACATGTTGATGTAGAAGAGACATGAAGAAGAGGGGACACATGTTGATGTAGAAGAGACATGAAGAAGAGGGGACACATGTTGATGTAGAAGAGACATGAAGAAGAGGGGACACATGTTGATGTAGAAGAGACATGAAGAAGAGGGGACACATGTTGATGTAGAAGAGACATGAAGAAGAGGGGAGACATGTTGATGTAAAAGAGACATGAAGAAGAGGGGACACATGTTGATGTAGAAGAGACATGAAGAAGAGGGGACACATGTTGATGTAGAAAAGACATGAAGAAGTGGATTTTGCACAATAGGTGACCTTTAAGAAACTATACCCTGATTAGCTTTCCAGTTAGTGCCTTACACATCATCATTTCTTTTTCATTTCAGACTTTTGCACTGATAACATTAAAGTTGTGTAACTAAAAAAAAAAGAAATTCACCTAAGATTTCTGTAATAAATAATCCTTCGATTACAGTGTAAATATTCAATAAAGAAAGATGAATACAGTTCTTATATTAACTTAGTTAACTGAAAGAAACAACATTTCCAAATGTATTTTTATTTGTTAGCCACTTGAATTATGAATTACACTGTGTTACATGAACAGACACAAATTAGAAAAAGGGTTTCAAATGTAGAAAAAAAAGGTACAATACATAAACAGTGGAAGCAAGATCAGCTGAATTGAGCTCAAGGGGTACACATAGCGGATGCTTATGATAAAGAAATATGAAGTTACAACAATCCATATGCCATACATAGAAAATACATGTTTAAAGAATGTTAAATTATCAATTTTCCATGGATAATGCAATGATAAATCCAGCATGGGTAAACAATGTGTTGAAATCAGTTCAGAGGCTGGGATGTTTTCACCCACTTCAGCTTACATCCATCACTTCCCTGGTCCCATTCAAAAATAAAATATCTGTATGGATCCCCTTCATCAAAGTTATTGTCTGCTTCTGTCGAATAAGTGTCAAGGATTCTGATGCTGTGTGCGTGACTTAGGCGGAAAGTCATAATCAAAGGCCTATTGACGCCAAATTATCCGTTGATGGTTTGATTTACAGGAATCCTCTTCTGACAGTGCCAAGGCCAGACGGTAATGATTCATAACCTAAATCTCGTTAACTAATCCAGTTCAGCTGGGTTCTAAAGGAGTGGCTCTTTCATGTCACATGTAGTCCGTACAAATTCCAACATTTGCTTCATATTGTGCTGTAAGTCAGAGTCCCTTCTCTTTGACCAATACAGGCTGTGTTACATTTAAAAAAAAAAAGAAGATTTTATTTTGACGCTGAGCAAAAATCTTCATCAAGAAAACAACTGGAACTGCCAGGAAACTGGAAACGTAAC